GAGGAGGAGGAGGGCAAGGGGCTGATTTTCACCTCTCTCCGTACAAGTACAGGATAGGAGCTCCAGAGTTCTCAAACAAGTTCCATGCGCTTGATAGACGCCCGACGCTGCAGTTCTCCATAACTTCCGCCAGGTGCTTCGGATTTCCCCGCCTTCTCCTGAGGAAATGGTGAGAGAGCGGAAGAAGGGATGAGATGAGCAGGACAAGGAGGAGCAAAGAGACAAGATGAGGAGTCAAACTGAGAACCATGAAAGAATCACTATCATTATCTCAATTACAAACATCATCTTCATCGTCATCCAAATCATCATCATTCTTAAAGCTTCATCTTTGTCATGTCAAAATCATTCATCAGCGTCGCAATCATCATCATCTTCATCGTTGTTCTTACCTCTCCAAAATCTTCGGGAACTTCTCGCTCTTCACAATCTCCCCAAACAGCGACTGGCCATACCACTCCATCAACCATCTCCTCCACTCCTCCTGCTTCACCCGTCCCATCCCCTCCTCCTCCTCCTCCTCCTCCTCCTCCACCAGCCTCCTCAGCTCATCCGCCCTTGCCCGGTCCGCCCACACCCGCTGAAACCTCTCCTCGCTGCTCTCCAGCCCAGGGTGCGCGCTAAGAATGCACATGCTCTTGACCCGCGCAGGATGCTTCAGCGCGAAGTTGAGGGCGAGTCGACCCCCCATCGAGTATCCCACGAGCACACACGATGACACGCCCAGCCTCTGCAGCAGCATGTCCAGTAGGAAGCAGCTGACCTCCCACGACAGGGCCAGCTGGGAAGACATGCCCCCCTGCTTCCACGCGAAATCTCCGTGACCGGGCAGGTCGACGGCGAGGCACGAGCACGTGCCGTCCTGTAGGAGGGCGGGGACTAGCGGGTCCCAGTCCTCCTTGCAGCCCAGGAAGCCATGGAGGAGGAGGAGGACAGGCTTGTCCCGGTCCCCGTGCCAGATCCAGGAGGTCTGGATGAAGTGCTCGAGGAAGAGGTCGACTGAGTAGCTGACGGCTGCCGCAATGTCGCGGTGAACCTGAACGAGACGGTCGGAGGAGGTACGAGCCTCCAGCAGGACGTGCTTGCCCGAGGTCTCGGCATGGTGGAGGCAGGAGTCGAACTCCGCTGGAGGTCGGAGTCACTGGCAGCACTGGAAGAGGAGGGGAAGCAAGGGGGAGCTGAGCGAGGGAGGCAAGCAGGAGAGGAGTACGTGTGTGTAGGGAGAAAAGAAGAAGGAGCAAAACTAGCGCACTAACGGATAGAGGGAGAGGTCGTTACGAGAGGTTGAGGAGGAGGAGGTGATGAAGGAGGAGGAGGAGTACGAGGGGGAGGGGGGGGAGGACGAGGAGGAAGGAGGGAGGAGAGGGGAGGGGGGGGAGGAGGAGGTCAGCAGCAAGGTAGGAGGAGCCAACCTGCAGTAGCGGCGTGCATGTAGTCTATGCCGAACGAGCGAGCGAGGCTCTCGAAGTCGATCTGGTGGGAGTTGATGAAGAATTTCTCCATCATCTCCTCATGCTGGGCGATGGGCAGGAACCTGAAGATGCCGCACCCCCCGTTGTTCACAATCACCAGCACCACAGGATGCGGGCAGTCCGGTACATGCCGGATGGCACTGAGGTCGTAGAGCGCTGCCGTGTCGCCGAGGAGGAGGGTCAGCGGTCGACCCCTGCCTCCAGCGTACCCTAGCGCGGAGGAGACGATGCCGTCGATGCCGGAGGCGCCTCGGTTGCATCCGATCTCCGGTCGCTCGCGGGAGAGGGCAGCATGGAAGAACATGTCGACGTCTCGGATGGGCATGGAGCTCGAGACGAAGAGAGCGCGTCCTCTTGCGAGGCTCTCGGAGCAACGGAGAGCAATGAGCGGCTCCTCAAGGTCCTTGTAGCCCGACAGCGACGACCACAGGGCCGTCCTCGCATGCTCCGACATCTTCTCCAGGGGAAGGAGATCGCTAGGATAGATCCTGCTGCCAAGTCATGTCTCTGCATTCATGAGCACAAACGAGGGGAGATGTCGATAATGATGCGGAGGAGGAGGAGGAAGGAGGGTGAGGGAGTGGGGAGAGAGCAGGATGAAGGAACGGACCTGTTGTGCTGCATCCACCTTGACAGCTGCTTGCCGAAGTCGGTAGGAGAGCACGAGAGGTAGTGGGTGACTATAGCGGAGGGGTCCTGCCTCCCAGGGGCATCGGAGACAACCACGTAGGAGCAGCGGTCGCTGTAGCAGCAGGAGGAGATAAGGGAGAGGATGCGCTTGCTGACCAGCCTCTCCCCAAACTGAAGGATGAAATCAGGCCGGAGGGCCCCGCTGACCCTCTGGTTGGTCAGCATCTGGTCCATCATGCTCACTCCTCGCATTCCGAACGGCCCGAAGTCCCAACGGCCCCCCGACTGAGCGTCGCACCACACGGGCCAGCATAGCTCAGCCGCGACCCACCCGACGGTCGCCATGTCCTCTGCTGTGAAGAGGTTGCCGACGACGACGAGGCCTCTCCTCGCACGCGCCATGGAGCTCAAGACCTCTGCTGGGACCTCGACGTGGGAGGAGGAGGAGGGATACAGCGTATGAGGCAGCGCCGAATGCTCCCACTTGGCCATGTTGAGGGAGGCGATACACGCCCTGCTCCACGTGCTGCTGATCGGGTTGCCCGGCGGGTTGTCGCGGACGGGCCCGCCGTCAGGGGCGAGGTTCTCCCGGAACTGAAAGTTGAGGTGGACGGGGCCACGAGGCGAGGAGGAGGCGCGATGAACGGCGAAGTCGACGTCGGAGAGGAGGACGTTGGCGGGGATCTGGTCGGAGGGGCAGCAGAGGTCCCTGCTCCACCTGACGTAGCGCCCGAAGATTCCTGCCTGCTCGATCGTCTGGTTCGACCCGTTGTCCCGTAGCTCGAACGGCCTGTCGGCAGTCAGGAGGAGCATCGGCAGGCCCTGCTGTGAGGCCTCCACTGCAGCGGGGAGCAGGTTCGCCACTGCTGTGCCGGAGGTGACAATGCAGGCAGCGGGCTTCCTCTTCGCTCGTGCGTATCCCACGCAGTAGAAGCCAGCGCTCCTCTCATCGTGCATGACAACTGACGTCGCCTTGGCGTTCCAGGAGACAGCAACGGCGAGAGGAGTCGACCTGGAGCCCGGGCACAGGCAGAAGACAGTCACTCCACACCGGCACAGCTCCTCCACAGTGAGCACAGCCCAGAGCATGTTGATGTTGGGGAGGGAGGAGAGAGGACGAGGAGGGTTCGCGAACAGCTGCAGGATGTTCCTCATCTTGAACGCCGTCTCCTCCCACTCTGACTTTGGGTCAGACCCTGGCACGATGCCTGCTCCTGCGTACACGTGCAGCATCTTGGGCTTGCAGAGTACCGAGCGGATCGCCACCAGGAACTCGCAGACGGAAGAAGAAACAAACCCTACAGGCCCCCCGAAGAAGCCTCGATCGAACCCCTCCACGCTCCTGATGAACCTGGTCGCCACCGGCCGGGACTCACCGCACACAGCAGGCGTTGGGTTCAGGGTAAGGAGGAGCTCGATCGGGGTGGCAGCCTTGGAGGATGGCTTCGCTCTGATCTTGCGACAGATGTGCTGCACGTGCCTGAGCTTCATCACGTAGATTTCCGACGTTTCCACATCCTCAGCCACGTTGGCCAGCTGCTCCTGAATGTACTTGGTCGTGACCCCGTTCTCGTACTTGTCCTTCTCGCTCGCAAGCAGCTCCTTTGCCAGCTCCTCGTCTTGCTCGGCTGACTGCCCTCGGGGCTGTAGGATAACAGGAGGTCAGAGGGGGAACGGAGAGGCGAGCATGAATGCAAGCTCGTCGAAAACCCACAAGAAAAAAAAAAAAAAAAACAGGTAAAAGCATGTCAATTCACATCCAACATTCGTGACTCTGATCAAACAAAGAAAGATAGAAAGAGATGACAAAGGAACAGGGTGTAAAGGAAGAGGGAGGACAAGGGCAGAACGAGGAACAGGGGCAAGAGAAGGAGAAGGAGCAGGAGCAGGAGCAGGAGCAGGAGCAGGAGCAGGAGCAGGAGCAAGTGCTAACCCTCGTGCCAGAGATCGCCATGGTCTCTATGATGTCATGAGAGATCTTGAAGAGAGGCTCTGGACTGCATCCCAAGAAGGCAGAGCCAGGTGTGGGCTGAAGGCAGAAGAGGTATCCCTGGTGATACTTGAGCTTCAGCAGCAGGTCCATCGGCTCCACTTCCGTTGAGAACTCGACGAAGAAGTTCCGAGACAGCACAACCTGCCGAGTGACTTCAGCAACGAAGGCACAAGCACCAACATGTTTCTCACCTTCCTTAGCTCTGCCCCTTTCTTGAGCTCCTCCAGCGCTGATTCGATTGAGCTCTTCCAGTGCTCGTAACTCGAGCCGTCCTTCATCGAGCTCGGCTTCGGGAGGTCCCGCTCCTCGCTCAACACTACATTCATCTGTTTCACTGCACTGATGGCCTTCACAAGCGGCTCGACCCAATCTCCATCCTCCCTCCTCCTGACGTTCACCCCAATAATGAACTCATCCGTGATAGAGTTTGCATGCCGCCTGACCTCCCCCAAACTCTTCGTCGCATCTTGTGCATTGGCACAGTTAGAGTAGAAAATTTCAATCTGAGGAAGCACGAAGTAATGCCCGCCAAACTCCTGCCACTCCTTCCCAACCCTGGCTCCGGCATCGAATCGCGACCCTCCGTAGTATCGGAAACAGGCTGGAGTGCCCTCGGGAAGCAGGTGCCTCTGCAGATCTCCTTCCCCGCTCACCAGATGAGCCGATCCAACACCTGCTGCTATGTGCGACCTCTCAGGGTTGAGGAAGAACACCTTGGGGAACTCGTGCTGGGACCTGAGCCATAGCATCGCATCCTCCACATCGAAGCTACATATCCGCACTTCAATCCTCACCAGCTCTGTCTCTTCTAGCAGCATTCTCGATCGATCTTGTTGAATTTCAAGAAGCTGGCTGAGAATGACATCCTTGGCCCGCCATAGAGGGCATGCAAAAGCATGTCTCCCTCCCCCTGTTCTGCTCTGGCCCTTTCCGGAGTGGGGCCGGAAAACTTTGAACTTTGGAGAGCTCTGCTCCTCCTCTTCCCTGGCTTGGGATGACATAGACTCGTACGCCATCTCCTCCAACTGCACATTCTCATTCGTAAAATCTTCATCCACCTGACTACCCCCCCAGAACTCCTTGAACAGTTCTGCAGCGTCTCTGGCATCGTCAATGGCCATGTTGCGCATATCCTGATCGAGATTGCTGCTTTCCATCTTGTCAAAGTTACAGAGGAAAGACGTTTCTCAATTGTGGGGACGAAAATCTCTCCTCCTATGGGGAAAGCTCCGCCATACCGCCGAACCAGCGCCGCAAAGCTCGTGCCATTGCTGGAATCGCGAAACAAATGTTTAAAACAACTAAAATACTTTTTCGATAAGATATAATGAATATAGTAAATCAGTACTGAAAGAAAATCTATTCAAGTCTGGTTATTTTATATATATTAGTATAAGGAAATATTGTAATGTACCAGTATGGAAATAATAAACATTTATTAAATGGTGAAATAACATAGGAGGTCAATATGTGTCCGCTGAAAATCCAACATTATAAAGGGAATTTAAAACAAATAGGGTACTTTCATCATATTTGTTATATTTTTGTGGTTCAAGTTTTAAAAATCAGTACTGAATATGTTTTATTTCTTTAAAACCTGGTCTCTTCGATCATTTGTGAGGACATACCACCCCACCCCCGAATAACCACTATCAAAACAAATATCACCCCACCGTTTTACCTTTCCCTACCCACCACTCCACCGCTACAACCAAGGTTGCTACTTGTCGGATCACGTCCCTTTATGTTACTACCCCCACGAGTTACTAATTAAAATGACAATGAAATCCATAGGAAACTACCCCTCCTCGCATCGCCCCCGCATCCACCACCGCAAAGTGGCAATACTTATTGACACCCCCTCCTAATCCCCCGTCGAGAAGTACCCCACCCTATGTCACCCCATCAGACCTTTGTGGTCTTATGTGACCCACCCACTGAGTACACCCAATAGGAAGGTCGTATCTACGGGTGGGGTGTCTGTAAGAGCTCCTTATGAGGGTACTACTACTATTACTTTTACTCAAAGTACCACTACTACTACTGGTACTACCACACTTTTATGTCCGCCGCCTACCACTATATAGCTCAGTGACTGACCTTCGGCTCGGGGCCCGATAGGGCCGGCCCGACAGTACGGCCGCCGGGTGAACTTGATTTTTGAAAAGTAGGCGATCAGGAGATCTAAAAGTAGGACAGCCATGGAAGATAGTAGGATGCGATGCGACCATAGGGCATGCAGGCTGACAAGGGCGATGAAAGAGAGTGAAGGCGGGAAGCGAGAGGGAGAGGAGGAGGAGGGTGGAGGTAGCACAAGCCAGCGAGTGAGAATCTAAGGAGGAGGCATGCCTTGGGAGAAATGCTGAAAAGTTGGAGAGTCGGGATAGCGACATGACTGCGTCGGCAAGAACTCTCTTCGCTCTCCTGATCCTCCTCAGCATCGCCAATGCACGTTATGAAGCGACTGGGCTCCAAGCGCGGCATCGGGACTCCGGCGTAGTGCGACTTCGTGGAGGTAAACCGAGGTTGAAGAAATGGAAGCAAAAGAAGGAGGGATCGAAGAAAGAAAACGACATCCGCGCAATCAGAAAGAAGGGAAAGGCAAGAGAGATGAACGAGCTCCGGGCACCATCCGCGTCATGTCGCAAGGCAACATCATGGCTGACAAATCCCGGGAAGTCGTCCTCAAGGAACTCTGCAGCAGGCAGACGTGCAACGCGCTTGACCCCTCGCTGTATGACTTCGAGGGAGCTGGGCTGGAGAGGGAGAAGTACTCTTCCCTCCAAGACTACATCGAGTGGACCAAGGAGAAGAAGAGCAGCGATGATGACGTGGGCATAACTGAGTACGTCACCGGCGCTCCTGGGCTGGGGGGGCTACTGAAGGCCCGGTGGTTTGACTTCCGAGTGAACGAGATGCGCCTGGAGGAGGAGGTTCCTGTGCTGCTGACTGATGCTGCCTCCCTCCCTCCTCGCCCTTGGCCCCTCCGGGATGAGCTAGACAACCAGGATGCGGGCTTTTACGCCCTAAAGCCGCACTTTGGCAAGGACGTTGCTAGAAGAGCGTTCCTGTTTGCTTCCGAGGTCTTCAAGAACTTCACGACAGGAGAAGGAAGTGCTGGGGAGCTCCAGAGATGTACAGTCAACATCGGGAGCAGAGATCCCAGCGGGGCTGACAAAGATTTTGCACGATTCTTCCCATTCCTCAAGGTTTCCTTCGCACTGCCTATCCAGGCTTCCGAAGGTTCGCGGACCCTGACAATGACTGCGAATCAAACGTGGTTCAAGCAGCGAGCAAGAGCACTGGCGACCTGCGGTGGGATAGAAAAAGTGGAGGAGAAGAAGTACCTGAGGTAAGTTTGCCTTTCTTGACCTTTCTTGCCTTCGTTTCTGCCTTCCAACTCCCTTCTCTTACCTCCTTCTCACCCTTGAAAGCTTACAAGCTTCTTCTTCTGCCAGCTTCATCCTCGCCAAGTCAGGATGGGACACGACAACACTGGTCAACAAGATTGCGTCCTACCTCAAGGTCAACGCACGAAGCTTCACCTTCGCGGGGCTGAAGGACAAGAGCGGTATCACAGAGCAGGAGGTTCGTTCCTACGGCATCGCTCCTTCCCGCCTGCTGGGCTTGAACGATGGGAAGATGAAGGGTGTACTCCTTGGCAACTTCAAGTATGTCGAGTCGCCTCTGCGGTTCGGACAGCATGGAGGAAATCGTTTCGAAATCCTCCTCCGCCATATCAGACCGCTCAGGGAACCTTCAATGCTCAACAAAACGATGGAGGAGATTTCGAGGAGAGGTTTTATCAACTACTTCGGGCATCAGAGATTTGGAAATAGGTGATATCATACTTTCCTTGTCTGATCCTCTCTTCCCTTGCTCCTCCTTCTGCTCCGTGGCTTCTCCTTCCATGACCCTCCTGCTCCTGCTCCCGCTCCTGCTCCTCCTGCTCCTGTTCTCCTTCCACTGACAGCGATTGAAGTGCCGCTTCTATGATGCCGTCCATCGCGGTCGGAAAGCTGCTGAGCAAGGAAGACTGGGAGAGCGCCGTCTCCGAGACTCTCCGTCCTCCGTCCTTGAGCTGCAGCCCCAACGAGAGGAAGGCGAAGCTGATGTATGCGAAGCACAAGGACGTGGATGAGGCGCTGAAGCTGATGCCGGGCTACTGCCATGACGAGCGGGTGCTGCTGCAGGCGCTCAAGGACGGCAAATCCGCAAAAGAGGCAGCGCTCTCTATGTGAGCAGCTCTGTCCTACATGATCTTGCTCCCACTACCTCCTCATCCTCGTCTCAACTTCAAACTTGTATCAAGTTTGAACCACCTTTTGAGTGAGCCGCAGGCCGCATGCTCGTCTTTTCAAGTTCGCGTACTGGTCCAGGGTGTGGAACCTGATGGCGTCAGAGCGGGCAAGACGGATGAGCATGGAGCATGCGGTAGAGGGAGATATCGTCCTAGTCCGTAAAGATAGGAACAAGTCCGAGGCGATCCTAACAAGTCACTTCTCCTCCTATACCAAGGTGAAGGAAAAGTAGAAGCAGGAGCAGGGGGAGGGGCAAGGGGAGGGGGATAAGAACCTTTAAGTAGAACGATGGGAGAGAGGAAAGCATAGGTAGAGATGGGCGGAAAGAGAGGAGAGGAAGAAGAGGAGGAGAGGAGAAGGAACTGATACTGGAAGCGCAGGACGGGGAGAACACGATGCGGTTCAACATCAGCAACTCCAACGCTCCTGAGATTCACTTTGTGACCGCGAAGGAGGAAAAGGAAGCAGCTTTCGGGTGCTGCAGAGGTGCTGCTTGGGAGGAGGCGAAGATGATGATGTTGGCAGCATCTCTGAAGTTGTGCTGCCAATGGTTGACGAGGAGGTTTATCCGGTTCTTCCCAAGAACGGACTGAAAACTTTCGTGCGCCGACTGGTTGGAATCTCTTCTGCCTAACATACCCCACCCCCTTCCCCCTCCACCCTCGTTCTGAAATTGCTTATTGGGGACGATGAAAGTTTAATTGATGGAAGAGATCATTGTTCGCGCATGACAAGTGAAACAGATCGAGAAGGATGGAATGAAGCGAGAGTTTCAGAAAGGCAAGAAGTCATCTCATCGATGCTCATTCAGGTTTCCCCATCCTGGAGGCAATCCATGATAAGAGATCTCGAGTCTGATCTCTACTCCTCCCTCCTCCTTCCTCCCTCCTCCTTCCTCCCTCCTCCTTCCTCCCTCCTCCTTCCTCCCTCCCCACCCTCTTCCTCCCTCCTCCATCCTCTTTCTTCTCTCCTCCATTCTATAACTCCTTTCCCAGTCTCTCTTTCTCTCTCTTATCCGTTTTTATTGCAGGAGTCTTGTCATAAAGCCCAAGAATGTGCGCTGGCAGATAGTTACATACAATAACAGAGACTGGGGTTGTTCTCTTCCCTCTCCACTTGCTCCTGCTGCTGCTGCTGCTGCTGCTTCTGCTGCTGGATGCCTTCCTTTTGCTCATCCTCCTCCTCCTCCTCCTCTTCCTCCTTTTCCTCCCATCCTCCAGATCATCTTGTTCTTCCTGTCGACCTCAGAATCTCACCACATGCAAGACCTCCAGCGGGCGTTTGAAGGACACGACCAATGCGGTAAATTTTCTCCCTCTTTCTCTTTCTCCATCCATCTCCATTCCATGTGATATTTCTGCCTGGAGCAGGGGGAGAAGGGAAGTGGAAAGCTTTGATTGTCAGCTTCATCCTACCGCCGTCTTCATATGCGACGATGATGTGTGTTCTTCTTGACTCCTCCTCCATCCCCCCACTCCTCCTCCAGCTCCTCCTCCTCCTCCTCATCATCATCATCATCATCAAGCTCCTCCTCCTCCTCCTCCTCCTCCTCCTCCTCCCAACCCTCTGCCTCCCTTCTGCCTCCCTCCTTCTCAACGGTCCCCAGGATGAGAGAGATTATGAAAGCTTCCACACATCCCAGCGATCAGTTTCGGTTGCGCTTGAAGGTAGAGGCAGACGAAGACACCGCTGTGGGAAACAAGTATCCTCCTATTTCCTCTTCCTCTTGATTTCCTCCTCTCTCTTCCTCGTTTCTTATCTTCTCCCATCCTTCACGCACTTTCTCTTCGGAATGTTAATCTGTGTGCAGGTGGCAATCTCGATTGAAGAATCTCCTCGCTGATCCAAATTAAACTTTACCACTTGTGCATTCGTCCTCGCCCTTCGCCCTCCCTTCTTCCCGTCATCTTTGATTCTCTCTTCCCCAACCATCTACTCCTTCCCCACTCAGTCATCCTTCCCATCCCTCCATCTTCTTTGCATCAACACTCAGCCCTCCCATCGTCGCCATGCGCAATCGCATTGCCATTGTGCGCTCGAATTAACCTGGAACAGCTTTTGTATCATGCAAAAATTCAATGCGAAGTAATCCTCATTATTCCCCGCATCCTCCTGCTCCTCTTTCTGCTGCTGATCCTCCTCCTCCTCCTCCTCATCCTCCTCCTCATCCTCATCCTCCTCCTCCTCCTCCTCATCCTCATCCTCATCCTCCTCCTCCTCCTCCTCCTCCTCCTCCTCCTCCTCCTCCTCCTCCTCCTCCTCATCATCATCATCATCATCCTCCTCCTCATCATCATCATCATCATCATCCTCATCGTCATCCTCCTCCTCCTCCTCCTCCTCCTCCTCCTCCTCAACTCATCGCTATGAACTACGTAGACTACATGTCATCGTGAAATGTGCATGGCTCCCCGACTCATTGCGCCCCCAGGTCCCCCACCCACCCCTACCAACTCAAATCTACCCCACCACACTGCTTAGGTCCTATACAAAGACTACCCCCTCTTCATACTAAAACTACCCTCCATGTCGGTAGGTTCGATCTGGACCCGCCTCAATGTCCCCCGAGCTTCATCAGCAGACAGCGGTAGTGGGGTTGGGATGCCTGGTAGGGGTGTATACCAGGTAGGGGTAGTATGCCTCCGAATCATAACGGGGGTACCCCGAATGGAACTCCATGGGTCATTTACAAATCTATGGATGACCCCTTGTATTAGAGTATAATTGAGGGTACTTATGGTGTAAAACGCAAATCAGTAGGGTCCTCTTGTGATGGGGGGCAAATTTTGTGGGTAGGGGTGACATTGCTTGGTTGCAAGGGTGGGTCCTTGAAGGATCACCTCTAGGTATGGGGTAATGTGTTTTAGTGGGGGGGTGGAAGAAAATGGCGAAATCGCTTGCTCAACGATGTTTTGAAGGGGACAGTAAGGAGCAGGAAGAGGTTCGGGAGCAGAAGCAGTAGCTAGAGGTACAGGATAGTCATCTCATTAGACAAACGATGATGCTTAAAGTCCGATCAAGGTAGTTAGACAAGCTCCAGTACAGAAAGAACCTGCTGGGTGCGAAGTGGCTGGGTTTTCATGAGCAGAGATCTTTCTTCTAGGAAATGTGCAAGACAGTGTCCACACCCGAGAACATTGACAAACATGGGAACCATGTAGCAGAACGTTCCCATGTAGCAGAACATGCGAGCCAAGAAAATATAAGATCGCTTTCCATGAAGATCAATTCGTACTCATCTCATTGATTTCCTGAATTTTGCTGACAGACTCCTCTCCTCCTGAATGTCCGGTAATGAAGAGTAAGTGTATGTGCGAGACTGGATACACCTTCGAATCTTTGTAGACATCAATCTCGCATCATGAAGATGTTCACTGGCTCAATCATGTTCAATCAAGTCTGTCTACCGCTCTTCATTGCGTTCATCGTCGGCTTCTTGCTCAACAACGTACGCGGCGAGCTCGCCAGCAGCAGCAGCGTGCGATCTGATTTGCAGCTGCGAGGAGGGAAAAAAGTGCAGAGCGTCAAGAGGACGAAGAGCAGCTTGAAGGATGCGCCGAGGGTTCCCGTCTTTCTCATGATGCCCTTGGATACCGTCAACTCGACCAGTGGAGAGCTGAGCGAAAACGCAGCGGAGCTGCTGCCTGGGGCGAAGGAAGTGTCTGCGGACGGGATCATGGTGGATGTATGGTGGGGTCTGTGCGAGCAGGAGGCAGGGATATACAACTTCTCTGGGTATGTTGACCTGCTCCAGCGCTGCAAGGACCTCGGGCTGCAGGTACAAGCTGTGATGTCCTTCCATGCATGCGGGGGGAACATCGGAGACAGCGTAAACGTCCCACTGCCCCAATGGGTGCTTGACCTGGAGGAGAAGGTCCCCGAGCTGTTCTATAGGGACCAGGTGAGGGAGGTGGCTGAGGTGAGTGGAATGCCGGGGTGGTTGAGTTTGCGGGGTCTTGGCAGAGAGGCGACCCCAGCAGGGAGTACATATCTCTCAGGTATGTTGATGGCTTCCCACTTGGAGGTTTCTTGACTGTCCGTTGACTAGCTGCGACGAGCTTGCGGTGTTTCCTCCCAAGGTTGTTTCTGTCTGTATGTGTGCAGTCCTCTCCTTCTTACACGATGCGAACGACAGAAAGACAGCAAGCAAGCTCGGACGGGTCAGTGCGGAATGCGCCCTCCTCCTCCCTCCTCCCTCCTCCCTACTCCCTACTCCCTCTCTCCCTCCCTCCCACCCCTTATCTTCTCAAGTAATTCCTCACCCTCGTCCTTTTCAGCACTCCAGCTCTACGAAGACTTCATGACAGCTTTCCTCGAAGCCACACAGGCAATCTGAGTTGTTGAATTAAACATCTTCACACGCTCACGTCTGCTTCCCTTAGGATTTCGTCAAGGCTGGAGTTCTTGTTGAGATTCAGGTTGGCTGTGGCCCGTGTGGCGAGCTCAGGTCGTCCAGCTGGGGGTTTCCTGGAGGTTTTAACAAGTTTGAGCAGGTACCCGTCCTACCCTCTCAGCCCTCGAGAACACTTCCCTGCTGGCTGGAGGTGGCCGGGAATAGGTGAGGAGCTGGGAAGGGGGAGGAAGACTATGACGTAAAACAGGCGAGATGCAATGCTACGATGCCGGGATGCTGCGAAGCTTGAAGGTGAGGAGGAGGAGTAGGAAGTCTGCTGAGTGCTGAGCTTTGGGTGGAGCAGAACGAGCTAGGATTGCCGTCTCCTCTCCCCGGGCTCGGCTGCTACAACGATGCTCCAGATGATGCTCCTTTCTGGGCCAGGCCGATCCAGGACCAGGTGAGAAGGATGTGGAGAAGAAGAGATGGGAAGTAAGGGAGGGTGTGTGAGAGGAGGGAGCAAGGCAAGGAAGGCAGGAGTGCCGGAGGCGAGACGGAGGAGCTCTTGACACATGCATCTGACATCGGGACGCAGGGAGCAGTCCAGATGCTGCTGAGCTGTGTCATCCCACGACAGGAGAAGTTTGGTAGGATAGGTAGGGAGCTTGTCCCAAGTACCTGACACCTTGTGAAGATGGTGAGATCCGTCATGATACCCCGGAAGGACAGAAGTAGGACATGTTTGGCACCCTCTCGGCCACCTGGTGCTGAGCTGGGGTCTCAGGTTTCTCAGCTGGTACTTCTCGCTCCTCCTGGAGCACGGCTCGAAGATCCTCTCGGTATCTCGATGTCGCTCGCTGCTGGCGAAGGAGCTCAAGGGACTTTTTCAGGTCGCCCGCCGGGTTTTTGGTGACGAGATGAGATTGGCCGCCAAGGTGGATATGCTGCAACAGAAAGCCCTGAACTCCTCCTCTCAACTCCTTCCTACCTCCGCTCCTTCCTGCTCTCCCCTCCCCTCACGCCTTCTCTTCTCTTCCTCTCCCTCACTTGTCTCAGGTCTCCGGCATCCATTGGCTCCGTGCTCATCCTTCCCATGTATCGTCATACTCCACTTCCCTCCCGCCCTCTCACCTTGCTGGACAGGCTGCCGAGGCCACTGCTGGGTATGTCGGGGATTATCTCCACGACATCTGCCAGATGCTCGCCAAGACAAACACGGTGAGGAGAAATGAAGCAGGAGGCTCGAGCGTCACGACAATTTCAGGTCCTGGACTTCACTTGCTTCGAGATGCTGGACGGCAGTCAGTCCTGGTTTGCGATGTAAGGACAGGCTCAGTCCCTCCTCCTGCTCCTTAGTCTTCTCTCAGGTCTCGTCCTGAGGACCTGGTTCGCAATGCTGCTCAGGCTGCGGCAGAGGCGAACATCGGTTTCGCAGGAGAGAACGCCTTGTTCTGCTGGCAGGTATGCGCTGCTTCCTCCCCTGCTGCAGTTGACACTTGCTGCTGTCAAGGATGAGAGTGCCGTCGAGCAGGTGGGCACAAGAGAAGAAGCAGGAGCAGGAGCAGGAGCAGGAGCAGGATAAAGAGGAGGAGGAGGAGTGAGAGCAGGAGCAGGAGCAGGAGCAGGAGCAGGAGCAGGAGCAGGAGCAGGAGGAGATTTTGACGCCGCGGCCTGATGCTCCTGACCGCAGGTAGAGGCTCAGTGCGAGCAAGCTGTGAGGCTGGGTGTCAAGATGGAAGGTTTCACTCTGCTCCGACTGGAATCCTGGCTCCTCCAGAAAGGTGATGTTACTGCTCTGCCTTGCTCTCCCCCTGCCACTCTCGCTCGGTCTACTCTTCCATCTTCTTTCTTTCGTCCTTCCTCCGTCATCTTTCCGCCGTCTCCCCTCCCCTTCCTTGCTACTCGTGCTACCTTGATTTCTCCTGAACCTCCTCCTCCTCCACTCTCTCTTCATCACCACTACCTTCATCATCAGTCTTTCTGCTCTGTTGTTGACTCACTTGACAGGATCTCCTCAACGAGAAACGCTCGAGCGATTCATCTCCAATCTCAATGTAACAAGTCTTTCTCCTCCTCCTCCCCTCCTCTCTTCCCCCTTTTCTTCCCTCCTCCTCCTCACACTCATCATCTGAGTCGTCCCGCAGTGCTTGTCGAGGAGAAGTTCCAGCCGCTCCTTGCGCACCAAACTTTCCATTATGGCCAAGAGAGCATACGACAAGTTCATGGCCTCTCAGACGTAGAGCAGCAGCAGCAGCAGCAGCAGCAGCAGCAGCAGCAGCAGCAGCAGCAGGTTTTTATTCTTTAGTTTGTTTTCCTTCAATAGATCTTCCTTCCTGTCACGAGTCCGCTCGACTACGTGACACTGTGCCACTGTGATGCCGGCCCGGATCATCGGATCCGGACCCCGGGCCCTCGGAATGCAGTCACGGTGCCACCCGGCGGTGACCAGTCACTCGGACTCGGACAACTGCCCTGATTGTCCTCGTACTGCCCGGGCCGACGCCAACTGTCCGTCATCGGACCTCCGATCCGGAACGGCGCGGCTTCAACGGCCGGCCCGGGCCGCACGGTCCGATCTGAAATGTACAAAGTTCTGTAACGACTATAACTGAAATTTCCCGATTTAGGAAATATTCTCGGGGGCAAGTGGAGGCGGCAGGAGATTTACCATGAAAGGTTTACAAAGCTATGGGTCATCGATAGAGTTAAATAATTGGTACTATAACAACTAAAGTTTCATTTGATAATTAATAACTATAGATGAAAATTATACAAAATAGTTTTAAATACAGGACTATAGGTGGGTCATTGATGGATTCGGTAGAGGGGTGAAGGGTGGGGATAAACTTGATGCTATGGGATGATTTCTCACTATGGCGGGAGGCAAGTGGGGCTGTGGGACAGAAGGAAACCATGGCAGATTGGCGACGAGAGGAGTACGACGAGGATGAGATAATGAGAGGATATGCCGAGTCACCTGTTCCTTTGAATGATGAGGAGGCTGTGAGGAGGAAGAGATGAGAGAGGGCTGTCGAGACTTTGGGGGCACTGGACAAGAACGATCGACCGAATGAGATATCCTGATGAGATATCCTGATGATATGTAGACACACATGTGTTGGTACGATTGTTTCATATGAGGTTTTGATGCTAGAAGATGATTCGAATGGCATGTAAATGTACTCACTTTCATGTTCTGCAGCTGAGTTCAATATTTCTCTTCAACTTCAATGACAGAATAGCGGTTGTATCTACAAACCGCTTTATTGGATAGCTCTCAAGTTTCCCATGAAACCCACGAGCTCTCCGATTGCAGTCTGCGACACGAAGATCGGTTCGTGCACAGAAGGGTGAGCCATGGAGCTCTCGATCATGAGCGACGAACTGACTTCATAGAGCAGCGGGGCTCCGGAGGAGAAGTGTAAAGCCGGACCGCGTCCTGAGAAGGATACTGAGACCTGCAGCCCATCGAACAGCGATGAGCCCACAGCCGATGGCGGAGTAGAGCTGGACAACTCCCCAAGAGCTCTGGGTGAAAAGTGCACCATGGACGAGGATGACGCGAGCTCCGAGCAAGCCCAGATAGCAAACATCATCCTTCAGCTGTCTCAGCAGCCAGTCAAGAAGAGGAAGACAAAACCAGGCCATCATGAAGGAGTGATGTCCCATGTTGGCACAGGCGATCGACTTCCCATGTCACCTGCTATGCTTCCTTGCCCGCCGCCCAGTACCCCGAAGACTCCGCATACACCGCAGTCAAGGCAGCTGGGAAACTTCCCCGAGCCAGCGAGCAACGGGCACAGAGGTTTCGGAAGAGATTCGCAGTCGCCGCATGTTCGTGGGTATGGAAGCCCAGCGCATTCGAAAGCAGGAGAGGGCCAGGTGCAGGCTGCGCATGTTTGTGCTTGTGCGCTGAACATGCCGTATCAGGGCCATATGTCCTCGCTGAGCCTCGACTCCCCGATGGACGAGATGCGTGCCAATCCTGTACGTCTTGAGTGTCGGGACGAGGCTGCAATGATGATGCATGCGTCTGCAGATGTTGTCGGAGACCAACGTGCAAGGTGAGTCGCCGGGTACGCAAGGCCAGTCAGGTGATCGCTCCGACCTCTCTGCGAGCTCTCCTGGCATGCAGTGCGGGCGGGTTCCGAGCGCCAGCGACTCTGGAGCGATGCACTCCTCCAACTCCAAGGCAACAGAAGCTCGCCGCCCCTACCGGTGTAGCAAGTGTGGAGCAGAAAAGAAAGGGCACCTCTGCTCAGCCAAGGTTACTGTCAACTCGGCGCCTCCTCCTCCGGTACCTCGACTAGCACCATCATCTTGATTATGATGGCCCTCAAGGTGAAGCGCGGGGATCTTGCTGCCAGGCTGGCTGCGAGACTGCAGGGACAGAACGAGGGAGGCAGCGGGAATGGCTCTCAGTCTCAGAGCGAGGTGAAAGCTACACTCCCTGCTCGCCTCTTCCTCACGGCAGTTTAGGTACAGGGACTTTCTGCTCAAGAGCTGGACAAACTTCCTTTCTTCCGCAGCTTCAGTGCGTCATCCTCTTGTTGAGATCAGCGTGACCCCATGCCCAGATGCTATCGACGTCTATGGAGATGCGATCATGAACCATCCTGCCCTTGCCTCTGGCTTGCCAGTCCTCATGAAATGTCCTCCTGGTACTCAGAGGAGGAGCGATGAACTCATCTGAAGATTTTACTGCAGGAGGGCTTTCGCACATTGAAAAATTGCTTTCTGTGAATCATGAAGTATAGAAGTCAAATGAAAGTTATCATCAATTGACCTTAAAATGACGTAAATCTTGTATCTTTGCTGCCTCTTTGAAGTGCAAAGGCCGCCCACAGGGCTGACTCCCAGTCCGGTCACTCAGTGATCCGGCGGACCGGGCCGGGCCCGGCCCGCAACCTAGCGCTCTATAATCAGACAGTTTTAAAATAAGGCGGGTGAGGTGGGATGAGGGCAGGTTGTCGGGGTGCAATGGCTTCGCTTTCTCTTGCTGTTCGTCGGGCAGAGAGTTGCCATGGCGGGAGAGAAGCGACGAGATGTGAGGTGAGCGAAGATGCGAGAGAGAAGGAGAGACAGCAGCATGCAGGGAGAGGAGCAGAGGTGATGGAGGGGGGGAGGAAGGCAGGGAGCGGATCAGAGGTGATATCGTAAGGGAGGATGAAAGAAAGGGAGCAAAGGGGTTGCGGTGGGCAGATGAGGCTCGAGCCATCCAAGATCAGGGATATGGCATCAGTTGTAACAGAAAGAGACGTAGACGAAGAGTGTCTGCAACTCTCTGATCATAACATGTAGGGGAGAACCGAGACATGGCGAACGATGTTGTTGCGAGTGAGAAGCATAACTACAGCCTTGCAAAACCTCGGGATCCGGACCGGAAACAGGGTTGGCATACTGGCGAAGAACAGCGACATCTTCCTGCAGTACATGTACGCTGTCGCGGAGCTCAGAGCTGTAAGATATCTCCCTGCTCCTGCACCAGCAGCCTAACAAGAACTTGTGCAGGTGTTCGTGCCGATCAACATCCGGTGAGTCTTTGCTGCCAAGAGCGCAGGGCTGTGATGTCTGAACAGATGGTCGATGCAAGAGATTCGTTTCGCGATTCAGGACAGCTCGATCGGCCTCCTGGTGCTGGAGGCAGACTTGGCTCAGAGGTTGTCAACCATGCTCGAGGAGTTGACAATGAAGCGCTGCCCTCTGGTCGCTGTGCTCCTGGGCTCAAGAGAGAGTGAAGACACAGAGCTCAAAGCGCTGAGAACAAAGATCCCCGAAATCACAATCTTCACACACCATCAGCTGCTTATGAAGGCTCAGAATGGTTGGGAAGAAAGCAGCCTTGCAAGCTCAAGCACGACACCCGCGCGAGAAGACGACGTGAGCACGATAATTTACACTAGCGGGAGTGAAGGAAAACCCAAGGGAGTAATGCTGACCCATCAAAATCAGGTGACGATATGACGTAATGGTAACTTGTTTTGAATGTACTGGCCTTGCGCAGATCATTCAAGCTATCGAGAAGATCAATCAGGTTGAGTATTCAGAAGAAACGAGATACCTGAACGCTGTACCCATGTGAGTTGAATTTCACGTTACTGCACTTGCTGTGACTTGCCCTGTTCGACTCCATGACCTGATGCTCAAGGTTTCATGTTGGTGGCATCAGTTCTGCCATCGCCGTCACGATGGTCGGAGGGACACACGTGTTCCTGCCCAAGTTCGATCCTACAAATTTCTTCAAAGTAGCCACATTGCAGATCATTGGCAATTCAGTGACATTGCTCCCTGTTTTGATCAAAAGTGCATTCTTGATGAAAAAATTACAACTTTGGTTGTGGTACCTTCAATGCTTTCCTTGCTTGTGAAAGACATCCACGGGTGAACTTTGCTTTCCCTCTGAATGTTGGTCAAGTAAGAGACATCCGCAGGAGAAAGCAGAAGCCGAGCTCTTCCTGCCAGATCACCGAGTTTCCAACGGTGTCCACGGTAAGCCTTGCAAGGAATCTTGTTAGGTAGGGCGTTCCTGACCGTGTTCAACTTTCACTGTCCCCTTTTCCCTCTCCCGTACTCTGCTCCCCTCCCCTCCCCTCCCCTCCCCTCCCCTCCCCTCCCCTCCCCTCCCTTCCTCTTCGTTTTTGGCCCTATCCTGGGACAGATTCTTGTCGGTGGACAAGCGATGACGGCAGACCTTCTTGCTGCTTGCGAGAAAATCTTCCCGCAAGCCAATTTCATACAGACATATGCCTGCTCAGAAGCTTGCTCGTCGGTCTGAATGACGACAGAGTACGATGAGGGATGTTGATGATGATCGCGCCACCCAGATATCTTTCGCGTTGATCGGAGGTTACAAGCTCAGGCGATTGGTGGAAGATTCTGTTGGCTCAGTCAAGATGAGGTGAGAGGGCTGGTGTGCATGATGACTCTGAACGTCTCTCAAAGCTTGCAGCCAAGGACTGGTTTCGATGTGTCTGGTGAGGAGGTATTGTAGAAGCTCCTGCTTTCATCTAGAGGTTTACTTAGAGGACCAGGTCAAGGGGTTTGCGGTCGGGAGACCAGCGCATCATGTAGAGATTTGTGTGAGGACGTTCAAGGATCGCAAAGGAGGAGATGATGAGATTTGCAGATCGTCGACGAGAACTTCAACTTCCTTCCCATCCGCAAAGTTGGCCTCATCTGCACAAGAGGAGCTCATGTCATGCTCGGATATCTCAACCAGCCCGACAAGGCGCGATTGCTGCTGCACTCTACCGTCCTTGTTGTGACATGTGAAAGTGCAGACAAGGCAAGTGCTGAAGAATGGATGGCTGATCATAGGAGATTATGGTTTCCTTGACCTGGACGGCAACCTTTGTTTCGTATCCAGGAGCTCAGAGAGGTCGGTTGTCGCTACTGCATGTGGCGTTCTGACCGCCATTCGAAAAGAATCAACTCTGGAGGAGAGAAATTGTATGCTACCGAAGTTGAGTCCGTACTTCGTCTTCACACAGAAGTTAGACAGGTCTAAGATGGAACTACTCCAAACTTGTTTCTGACTACTTGGGCTGTCCAACTCGTGGCAATCAGGCCGCGGTGTTCGGACTTGCAGATGCTGAGATGGGTGAGATAGTTTGCGCTGCAATCATTCCGAGTGGTCCCATCGGACACACGGAGGATGCGAACTTTACGCTGAGATTGCAAGAATTCTGCAGAAGTCACCTGTCCACCTTCAAGGTGACATCGAGTGTACACCAACGTTTGCTCGTCTCAACTTTGAATTCAGGTCCCGCGCAAGATCATCGTGTGGAGGGATGCCGATTTTCCAACCAATTCCTCGGGCAAGATCATGAAGCACATGGTGAGCTCTAAAATTTCCTTCACACTGCTAACGTTCCACCCTCTCACTCCTCTCACTTAGATCGAGAAGAAAGTATCGGGGCAACACAGCCGCGTTTGATCTACATGTTTGATGTATATACACGATGAAACCTCAGTCCGACTCCTGCATGAATTGAGCCTTCAAGACCACAGACTTCTCACGATTCCTTGAGGGTTTCTTGTCCTGGATGTTCCAGTTAAGGAGCCGGTCCATAAACTCCGGGAACGACAGACTCCCGTCGTTGTTGATGTCCAGCTGCACGAAGAGGATTCGAGACTCTTGAGAGTTGATCTTCACCCCGATGCTCTGCATGAAGCTTTGAACCTCCTCCTCCTCCAGCGTCCCGTTGTTGTTCTCGTCAATGAAGTCGAAGAGCTCCCGAGCGCTCGTCCGCGTGTCCACGAGCTTCGATAGCTTTGCTGTCGCTTCCTTGAGGATCGTGTCGATCCGGCTCTTCATCTCCTCGAACAGTTCGTCGTTAACGAAGTCTCTCACGCCGATCGCCTTCAGCGTCTCTTCCAGATGTCGGCGGAGCACCTGACAACAAGTGAGAGGCAGCAGGAAACGTCGCGTGTCACCTTGCGCGGGCACTTGATTGGGTAGATCGGTTTCGGTCGGAGCGACTGGATCCCAAACTTGGCTCTTGCAAAGTCAGCATCGATGCCCATCTCCTGCACGAGACTGTACGCCTTGACTTTGGTCTTGTAGATCTCAAGCGCCTTGGCGTACTCGCGCAACGCAGCGACGTACTCAATCCGCATCGCCCGTATCTCCTGATCAATGAGGAAATCTCTAGCCAGAGGATGAGATTGAAGGTATTCCTCCATAGATTGACCTTCGAGCTTTGCGTACTTGAAACTCTGTCGTTCGCTGATGTACTTCTGTCTTTTTGTGTCGTATCTTGTGTTGTTCAGGAGTCGAAACATCCACATTCGTGAACTCTCATCACCAATCATATCCTTTGCAATCTGATCCCACAACTTGCGATTTTCTATCCTCCTCTTCTGAATCCCCTGCAGAAACGCGCGCGCAAAGTCTTGGCATTTCTTCAGGTTCTTCTTGAAGGCAGAAAGGTGGCGTGCAAACGACCTCATCTTGGAGAAGTCATAGAGAAGCTTCTTGACAAGGTCTATGCTCCTGTTGAGAGTGTTCTCATGTAGCCACGAGGTCCATCTCTTCATCTTGTACTGCATGTAACGTGCTGCCTTCAAGCTTATCTTGAGCTGATGACGACGACGCATGATACCCTTGAAAGTGTTCTGAATCCTCGAAGCTGCGGCTTGCCTTCTTCGCACGGCATATCTCAGCTCCTGGTTGATCGCCACCACCTTCATCATGCGGGCAGTCGCTGCAGCAAGGAGAACAAGCGGAAGCCATCGGGCCTGTTGAGATCTGCGATGTTTTCTTTCCTGGCGAGCTATCAGCTTCACCTCCACGTCCTTTCTCCATTCAGACTCGCTGTTTGAATCTCATCTCAACAGGTTCATGGCTGCTAAGTGATGCTTACCTTACGATCGCCCGCTCGCATGTTTCGAGTTCTCTCTGGACCCTCTCAGCGCAAGCCTGCAAAAAGTGAGAACAAGAAGGTTGAGCTAGAGGCAGCTCTACCTTCAAGAGATCCGTTATCTTAGCGTCTTGGGTGCTTTGAAACTGTTTGTGCTTGTTTTGCGTCACGAAATCAACATCCGAGCGAGGTGCTATGGGTAGCAACTCCCCCTTGAAGTTGCCTTTGGCTTGCATTCTTGTCTTGATGACCTGTCACTGAGTGAGAAGCAAACATCTACTGCGCAGAGGAGCGTTCCACCTTGTCACGCAGCTGGACCAACTTGACAACGCCTTGTGCTTTCTGCAAGGCCATCCCCGTGTCTAAAGTGTTTGGCAAGAATTCCTTCTCGCTGCGAATTTTCAAAATCCCTCTCCCGTCCATAGCTCGCTGTACAAGGCCTGAGGGCAATGAGACTGAATCACAGGAGCGATACATGACATCTTTTTTACCAGGTTGCCAAGCCACGATATCGTCAAGTACGACCTCATTGTACGAATTGTTTGCTTGCTTCTTCTTCACCATCACCTTGTTCCTCTCCGTCTCAGGATTGTCGGTGATGAAAACAGAAGTTGTCGTAGATGTTGAGCTCAATTGCTGAAGCGACGAATCAGCACGGTAAGACTGGTGTGATAAACTCGGAAGCATCTTCATGATTTTTGGTTTGATCTCGTGGTTGAAGTAGTCCGTCGCAACATACTTGATCTCAGGTAACGTTGGCCCCCTGTCATGATGAAAGAATCATATCGAGAATCGAAAACCAAGGGTAGAGATCACCCCTTATTCTTGCTCTTGCTCTTGTGAATGGTCAGAGGCTCCTGCTTCGAGCTCCTGTTGATCAGATCAACGCAGGGTCTCATGTAACAGATCTGCTACAAGACCTCTCTATCTCAGGCAACGAGTGGAGCTTCTGACGTATCGCATCCTGTCTGAAGTGAAGCTCTCTCACAAACTCGCGGTATTGTGCTGACGTGTCTGGCCGCGGGAGGTCGTTCATACTCCGAGTGTTTCTCCTCCTCCTCTCCTTTCTCTCGGCCTTGTTCGATGCTCTCCCGTCCATGTCGTCAGCTCCTGCAAGCGCCGCCACCCCCGCCCCTCACGCCATGCTGCCGGTTGCGGTTGTGCTCCTTCACCTGACAGTGGCCTGGCTCCAACGGAGACCTCGGTTGCTGCAGTTGCAGTGTAACCGGAATTCCTGACGCAACTGTAACCGATAATGGGCCTGAGTGGAGAAGAGGGTATTTCCCTCATACAAGCAATGATGGGGGTATGGCGGGTGGGCGCGGGTGTATGGCTCATGCTCGACCTCTGCGTTGGGTTCACCATGAGACCGACCATGCTGCCTCGTGCGTATCAGAGAGCCGTCGACGGGATCAGCAGAAGTCGCGGGGTGCAATCTTTGATGGGCCAAGCGAGTCAGAGCGCTACGAAGGGAACACAAGTATGGAACGGGATCGGCGAGCTGGCCAACAGGTTGATCCTTTGGATGAGTTGTAGTTGGTTCATGAAGTGAATAGATACGATGCCTTCCTGATAGACCAGTGGGGAGTTATGCATGATGGCAAAAAAGCCTATGTATTTCTTGATTCTTGCTCTGTGCGAAAGCCTGACTTCCAGTGAAAGGGAGGAGCAGTCGAATGCATGAAGCAATTGCAAGGTTTGGATTTGATATCATGCACATCAGTGATTGAGAAGTCAAAATAAAGCCCTTATGTCGAAAAAATCGCAGAAATGGGCAAGAAAATTTTTCTGCTGTCGAACTCTTCCAGGAGGAAGGGGAATTCTCTCAACAAGATTGATGGTACGTTGGAAGAGCAGTGCTGTATGTGTGATATTTTTGTGTACAGGGATGGGTTTCCATAGTGCTTCAATCCTAGACCTGATCACCAGTGGAGAAGTGGGATGGCAATGTCTCTCTCAGCGTCCAGGTTCCTTGCGTTCATCGTTTGCAGAATTTGAGTTTAACAGCGGGCACACCATTCGAGAGTCTTGGGAACAAAGTTTTCGTTTTCGGTGACCCCTGGGGAGTCATCAATGAGTTTGATGACTTTCAAGTAGGGAATGGAGAAGAGGACGAACAGTATGTTACATCAGCAGGTTGCGAGTGCTCACAACATTTGGCTGTAGATGACTGGTCGATCTGTTCAACAGGCTTGGAATTCGCAGACATTGAAGATGCTGACTTCGTACTCGCTCGAGGGCTCTTCACCATGGTCTGTACTCTTGTACTCTTTCTGTTCATGTCTCACTCCGAACAGCATGGACTTTCGGAGGTGTTGCAACGGGAGGGTCCTAACAAATATGAAGTGAACCATTCTAGTTCTTTGCTTTGTAGAAGATGTGATAGTCACGAGCAGGCATGGGACATGGAGGCAAGAAGCTGCCTGCAGGTACATTCATTCTCTGATGGTAAAGTGCTAATGCAATGTTGCGGTCGACTTCGATTCAGATTGCTGCGAATCGACTGGTGATCTTCAGAGTATTTTTGCTCAGCGATTCCTCAGCTTTGCGCAGTTGCCTATGGTCGTGACAAATCCTGATTTTGTCCGTCCCGATGGCAAAGATTCTCCTATGCCAGGAAAGGTATGTCTATGAGGATACTCCCTTTACGAATAGATGACTTGAAATCGTCGATGAAAGCTGGCAGCGATGTACGAGAGTATGCTAATGGCTCAGGTGAATGTGAACTTCAGCATCGTGCATGTCAAAGGGTGTTGAACTGAATCAGTGACAGCTGTGTGGAGAGAGGAAAGTGACTTATGTCGGGAAACCACACTCCCTCGTGTATGAACAGGCTTTTCAAAGGCTCAAAGAAGTAAGTGTATGTGTCCAACTTCGTTTCCAGTAAGCATGTACAGGTATCAGGGGATGTCGACAGATCTCGGGTGTGTGCTATTGGAGATTCTATCCTCCATGACATCGCTGGAGCTCATCGGACAGGGATAGATTCGATCTTTGTATGTGTCTGCGAAAGTTGATTTCACGTTTCTGAACGGGAAGGTTGCAGATCGCAGATGGGATTCATGCAGAATTCCTAGGACTGCAACAAGGCAAACCAGGGCAGGTGAAGATCGAACATGCTGTTCCTGTGGGATGTAGATGATACTGAACGGATTTACAGAGCCTAGAACAAGTTGATATAGAACACTTATCAAGGGAACTGTCGGCCCTTCCTCCTACACATGCAGTGCCTCATTTTCAATGGTGACATGATCTTCGAAACTAGTAAATAATGATTGCCCCGATGTTTCAATCCGACATCGAGCTGAACTTCTTAGCCATGAGTTGACTTGTACACGTGGCATATTTGTCTTGCATCTCCAACAGGGTTTGAATAGCTGGGATGAGGAAAGTGATGGTAATCCCTATGAGGAAACATGCCATCAAGATCAAGATCATCATCATGACGATCAAAATCATGATGATTGTCATGAAACATGCTAAAAGAATGAGACCTGAATACGGAGATGTGCCAAGCGAGGATAAATGCTGGAGCAATCGGTCCCTGAGATTGAGTTGCGGGAGAGGAGGAGGTGGAGGAGGTGGTGGGTGGGGATGGTGGGGATGGGGAGGGTGAGGCGCATGTAAAGGAGGAGGAAAGAACTGTATGTTAGGATCCGGAGGAGATGGCCCATGATCGGCATATCGTGGAGGGTCGGGAGTCGAGGAGGAGGATCCCTCCGCCGCAACACCAGCCGGCGCTGACATAGCGCAAGGGAGAGATCGAATGCGTTGCGGTGGGGGTGGGGGTGGGGGTGGGGGTGGGGGTGGGGGAAAGAGTTGGTACCAATCGTGCACAAATGTTCCTCTGCGAAGAACATTGAGGAGGGAAGAAGTTTGAGAGGGAAGAGGAGGGAAGAGAAGAGAGAGGGAGGGGAATATGCTGCTATGGAGGTTGATATCAGAGTTGGGTCTATCTGAAACAGATCAATCAACCCCATCGCACGGGTGAAGGCAAGGAAGGGAAGGGGGGGGGGGGCGGAGGATTATTGGTGGGACAAGTATGCAAGGTATATCACAAGGTGGACGACATGCTTTGCAGCACGTACGAAACTTCATGTTTGGCTTCTTGGGCTTCGTCTTAAAGATTTTGTATGCGACAAGGAAATTAATAACTAGTTTCTTCGCTTCTCCGCGCATCGTCAATCCTTCGAATGAGCAAGTGGAGCCTGTCCTTTCCCTCTCAAAGAGACGAGCAGTCAGTGAAGGTGAGGGAGGTGGCTGGTCAGCTCGCAGATGCCAGGGGTCGAAGGAAGATCTGGGAACAGCACTCAGCTTTCGGTGCAAGGTGCTCGAGAACCCCCACTCCCACGTTGGCGCATGCAGCTGCTGGCGATGCATGAGCCGTATGAGGTCTGAGCTGTTCTCGTCCTTCGAGCAGGCGAGGTCGCAAGGCTACGTTGTGGTCACATCGGTCGAAGAAGCGGGAGGGGACAACGAGGCTGGTGGTAAGGACAAAACAAGTAGGAAGCGTCGATCTGTAGACAACTCAAGTCTTTACAGTGATCAATGCCCGAAACGAAATACATCCTAAAGCAGCTGCGGACAACAGTCGATTCTCAAGTTGACAATCAAAACGAGCTTGCTGTAGGAGTTGCAGGAGAAAGCGGTGTAAAAGAATGAAACCCCAACAATAAACACTTTTGCATGTATCCATCCTTCCTTTCAGAGATCGATGATTGTTAGTTTGCTCTGGGCATGTTATGCGCTTGCACTTCACAACAAACCATTGGCTACGAGTTTGGTGCAGATTGTGCAAAGGTCTATTTTAACAAAAATGTAATGCCCTTGTTCGAGCATGATCAGAGGTGTACAGAAACTGCAAAAATCTTCCGATGTTCGTCGGTGGGTTTACACGACGAGGAGTCACTTAGTCGAACTAAGACCTGGTCCTAGGAAGGCTACAGCGATATCTTAATTAAAAAAACCGTAAACCCGTGGTCAGTCCAGTTCGTAGGTAACAGGAGATCGATCCGCCTCAGAGAAAGATAGAAGGGAGCTCGGAGGCAGCAACACCCTCCTACACTATGGGAACAATCTTGGTTTAAATGTACATAATTAATCCGGCTACAGCCGACAGGATATAATATTGTATGACGTGTACAATAGTTATAGAGGCGCAGCGCAGTTTCCGGATTTTTTTGAAATTCACGCAGAAAGAATCAAGCGCTACAAGGAGCAGGTGTAGACGATACGCTAAGCTGAGGCTGATGATGCAGTCGCACAAGGATCAGGGCGTCTTCAAGGGAGCGAATTGCTGCCTCGTCGGCATCTTCTGCTCCCTCATGCGGTCTGTCGTGCTGCTGGGTTGGAACCTGATCAAGCTCATAATCACGAAATGGGTGGGTAGGCGGCAGCAAGGACTTCAAGAGCTTCGATCGACCGTAGAGGCAGAGACTGCCGAACACGACGAAGAGGCTGAAGCTAACACAAGTGTTCGTTTTCGTTTCAGAAAGGCAGCCAGTGCAGATCAGGCGAACCGTTGGACTTTGCCAACACACGTCGGAACGAGTTTTAGCTTTCGGTGCAAGGTGCTCGAGAACCCCCACTCCCACGTTGGCGCATGCAGCTGCTGGCGATGCATGAGCCGTATGAGGTCTGAGCTGTTCTCGTCCTTCGAGCAGGCGAGGTCGCAAGGCTACGTTGTGGTCACATCGGTCGAAGAAGCGGGAGGGGACAACGAGGCTGGTGGTAAGGACAAAACAAGGAGGAAGCGTCAATCTGTACCATGAGGGCTGGCAAGAGCATAAGGCAGCTTGTGAAACTGAATTTTGATTATTTTGTGAAGCATGTATATGAAAGAGAACCTTTGTAAACTGACTTCTGTGCAAGTTTTGAATTCTGCGGGAAAGGTCTCGTGTCGTGTCGTACCGTGACAGTCTCCGTCTGTTCTGCTTGTAGTATTTCAAAAGACAAGTGAGAAAGTTGAAAGCAAGTCTTCCAAGTGAGATATCTTGACCGACCTTCTTATAGTGTCACTGTGTACTCGAAGAGAGTGACCGTGCTGGGGTAGACGACGGCTGCTGGTAGGCCGTAGTCACAGTGATGAAACAGCATGTGATCTGATCAGATCGGCCGCCCATCAGCACCCCGGGGCTCGGCCCTGGACTCTGCAGCCAACGATCAAGGCAGAGAGGCCCAGTGAGGGGCAGGAGCGTGCAGAACTGTGCAGCAATGAGTGGAACAGGAATTTCAGCTGCGCATGCACGCGTTGCAGATATTTACTTCTTCGAAGAAATTGCTGTGGCAGTCAGAAAGCTGCAAGATGGCGGACGAGCCAAGGAAAGAACGAGACTGAGGTTCAGTCTGGAAGAAACAAAGTTGACACAGCCAATGGAAAGTGCATCTGATCAAACCGCGTCAAGTGACTCCTTGAAAGAGCAAACGAGCGACCTCAACGACTATTGACGGGTTCAAATTAGATTCAAGGGTGTGTATTGCAATTACTCAGGATCGGGCATGAAACACTCGCGATCTTCCAGATCAGATATGTTTGGTTCCCACCCTGCTCACATCCAATCAACGAATTGAATGTTTCTTCCCGTTTTTATCTCAAGTCCGTACGTAAACTTCATTCCGAAAGATGTTGTAAAGATAAAGACAAGTCATTGGTTTGATTTGTAGATAGGTTTCAATGAAAGGTTGAAGCAATAGTAGTACTTTGTAATATCTATTGGAGGGGGGGGGGGTCACAAGGTGGACGATATGCTTTGCAGCACGTACAGAGAAGGACGAGCAAGTGTTCCCCTGACTCGTCCGCACAGGTGAAGAGGGAGCAAGGGGCCAAACCGGTCCTCAAGGCCCCCAGGGTACCAAGGCAAGGGATGGCAAAGACTTCCATCACAAGTGAATGCGGAGATTCCGTACTCGAATGAAATCCGCTGGTGAGCGTCTTGTCATGGAAGCCAAGCTCTTCTGCAGTTGTACTATTCGTCTCTGAACATTCGTGCTGTGCTGTTGCTTCAGCCTCTGTCTCAGCTGCTCCGGGGTTTCCGCCAGTGCTTTCACTGCTTCTTGCTTTGCGACCTCCAAGAGCCTCGAAGTGGATTCATGCCCCATCAGCTTGGCAATGTCCATGGCACTGTGACCCTCAGGTGTTGTGCTGTCAAGAGACACCCCAGCTCTCAGCAGCATCTCAATTGCCTCGTTCTGCCCGTACCATGCCGCCTGATGCAGGGCTGGAAAAGCATCAAGATGATGTTATTTGTCGAGTAGAGATGAGACCTGTCATCCCTCTCGCATTCACCAGTTCTTTGTCCAACTTCTTGTCTTCAAGCAGGAAAGCAAGCACCTAAACACAAGGTTCACGATTGACAATAATGTCATGCAAGAGCAAGGGAACACCTCGAGTCTCTGTGTTGGAGCACAAGCAGCCATCAAAGGAGATGTTCCCCACTGGCAGTCGCAGCTGCGATCAATCCTTGTGAGCTTTCGTTCCTGACATCAGACATTCCAAACCTGTTGATGTCCGACCCGTCCTTCAGGGCATCTTGAACTGACTTGAGATCTCCTCGAACAACAGCAGCCAGCATCTTTGAGCCCCTCACAAGCTTGTAGACAGACGCAGATAGGGGGAGAGACTTCAAGGGGATGCCATTCTTGTCTCCTCACGGTCTACAGGAGAAGCTTCATGAGCTCGAGCTCTCCCTTCTCCCATGCGATTATTTTATTAGTCCGCACTTACCCATTGAACATCCGACAATCCAATGGTGGTGAGATACTCATGATCGAGGGGGTTAGCATTCTGCAAATCCAACATGGCTTTGTCAAAGTCATGTCGCGTCCGAGCTATCTATGTAATGTTCAGCATTTCAGATGGGCAGCAACGGTTTCAGAGGGTATCACCTACCGCATCAGAGCCCTTGGGATTGAGAAGCGCCGGGTCCTTTCTTGCCTACTTACTCACATCAGAGTGATTGGGCACAATTGTGTGATATAGCAGACTTGAGCAGTAATGATTGATGTTGGCAATGAGATGAGAACAGCACACCACCATGTCGGCGTGGGGCATAGCCTGCTGTACCCCTTTGAGCATGGCACTGGAACGGTCGGTCATGATTGTTAGAGATCCACTTGATCGAGATAGCCATGGCCCGAGTGATGTGCATTTCAGCTGATTCCAGAGCCAAGCCGTGTTGTCTGCAGTCTCCGCTCCGACTGCTTCATGGTCCTGTTTCCACTGCGCGAATACACCTACATCATGTGCGTGAGGGAGCTGATCTGCATGAAAAGTGTCGTGTTGACAAAGAATGTTTACCTGCAGCTACAGGTATCACAGTACCATCAGCCACATCGCACATGCGAATCAGACCTGTGAGTGACATGACAGAAGTCCTACAGGCGAGGTGGTTTCATGGTGTCATGAAATAGGTACTGCACCGACATACAGTTACCTGTCCAAGGAAGCGCAATCCACACATGCAATGATGGTCACCTTGATGAGGTGGGAGGGTGACTGCACGACTGCCATGATTCATGCGAGAGTACTTAGCCAGCCATTGGTTAAGAATGGCGAAGGATCGAACATACTCTTTCTGCGTCTCGGCCTCGAGCTGTAGGCGAGCCCGGCGGACTGTGACTTCACTGGCTGCGACACCGTGTTGCATTTTGAGGAGGTGACGAAGCTGAACTGCTGTCATACGACGCTCCCCATTGTTACCAGCACAGAAAGCTACCATAATGCGGAAACAGGGCAGACCTATCAGGTACGGAACAGATACTTTCCGTTGGGACGTACAATCATGGTGATAAAAAGTTGAGGCAGAGAATTTCACAGTGAAATATTCCCCTCCAACTTGTTTGTTGCTACATTTCCTCGCGATGACAATGTTATACCTGGCGGGAAAGGTGAATGAGAGGGAAGAAAGAATGTTCCACGTTGTCTCACGGGCATGTGAAGCAAGTACACTTCAACACGTATCCACGGGTCCCGTGCAACGTCGGAACTTGCGGTCGTCGAACTTCTTTGTGGCCGTCTCGCATGTTGATATGTTCAATGTAAGCGGTACATTCGGGTCGAGTTCTCCAGACTTTGTATTTGAGATCAAGTGTGTCATCAGGCTTCATCCCTGTACGCAGTGCTGTGACATCCGGCCGCGGAGGGGAGATGTCTGGACCTTCTTCGCACAATCGCTTCCTCTGAAGAATGGGTTAGTGGTGAGCAGTGGGATTCTGTCTGTGAAAGGCAAAAAGGATTCTTACCTTAGTGCAGACACTGGCAGTGGATGAAGGTTCACACCTATGCAGTCTTGCATACAACACCCGCACCCCGGTGAGGATAGTAGAAGGTGTGTATGGCATGTCGAGTACAAAGTGTCCATGTTGGATAAGTTGTTCAACTGAGGACCCTGCCGGAACATTGAACTCCATTCTAAGCTCGTCCAGCATTGTTTCAAATGATATTGATGGCTGATCATTCCTCACATTCTGGTCTATCCCCTTGAATGTGCAACTCCCGGGATCCTGCATTGCGACAATGGGAATGAAAGTGGTCACGTTTGAGTGGCTTCCCACGGCACCAATAGTACTGAATGTGGGCCCTACTTAGCTAACAATGTCAGAATGTTGGCTTACACTCTGTTCAAGATTTGTTCGATCACAAAAAGTGCCGGGGCCACTGGCCGGGCTAGCGACATGACTATCTGTAGTATCGGCGAAGTTTTCAATGCTCACAAACTTGACAAGACTAGATTCACATCTTTCAATCTACAACGACGATTTTCCTTAAAAGTCACTGGGGATCATCATCGTCATTATCATTGATCTTTAGGTTCACCATCATCGTCGCGACGACTGTCGTCGTAGTCCTCGTCCCAATCGTCGTCGTCGTCGTCGTCGTCGTCGTAATCATCATCGTCGCAGCCACGACGACTGTCGTCGTAGTCCTCGTCCCAATCGTCGTCGTCGTCGTCGTCGTCGTCGTAATCATCATCGTCGCAGCCACGACGACTGTCGTCGTAGTCGTCGTGGTAAACATCATCATCGTCGTGGTAAACATCATCATCGTCGTGGTAAACATCATCATCGTCGTGGTAAACATCATCATCGTCGTGGTAAACATCATCATCGTCGTGGTAAACATCATCATCGTCGTCGTCATCGTCGTTGTAGTAATCATCATCATGGTCGTAGTAATCATTCTTGTACTTCTGCTGTGCCTGTGATGCCAATGTATCACACAAACTTTGGAAAATGGACTCAACTCCATACTGAGATGAAATCTGACATGGTGACTTCAAGAGAGAGTGTATCTGTTCTCTTTTCAACATCATGACCGTGTTCTTGATAGCTAAGTCCTTGGAGATTACAAGCACTACCACCTTGGAGTGCTTCCACTGATTCATGTACTTCCCGGCGAAAAACGAGATCTCGTGATCAGCAGCTTCTCGCATTCCAGAAGAGAAATGATAAGTGATACCTTCCGCCGAAGGTTTGAGCCCAGAGAAACTATTGCAGAACACGTCGATGGAGATTCTGCCACCCAGCTCAGTAGGCTTGCTCTCGAGCCAGTTGCTAAAGTGCGGAAGGACATTAGCACTGTTGTCTGCGTCTACCAGCACCTGCAGCTTCGAACATCGATTGATGAAGTTTTGTCTCTCACGGTTATTTTCTAGGTCGACTACTGGTGACAGGACAAGTCTCAGCTTGAGAATCCGCGATTTCCAAGATGGTTCTGTCAGCTTTCAACAGTATCTCTTTCGCCATCTTGCTTGCTTCACTCTCTGCCAATTTCTTCTTAGGCTGCTGAGGCCCATAAAAGGTATGTTGTCCTATGATCACGGTGCAGGAAAACTGAGGCTTATGCAGAGGCCCGGCCTGAGTCGTATGGAATATGGGCTTAAGCCTCGGAGACAGCGTGGCACAGAGATTAATGAGGTTTCCTTTAGGATCTCCTCGCTCCTCCCCAGATGGGATAGAAGAGGTTTGGCCTTCAAGGGCTTGTCGAAGGCTCAAGGAGGATACCACCTTCTGCAGCTCTGATATCTGTTTCTGCAAAGGACGCATTCCGTTTGCAACAAGCTTCTGCACCAGAGAATTCAACTTGTTGGGATCCATGGTGATCTACAGAAAAAGAAAAAGTAGGGGATGGAGGTGGAGGAGGCGACGGGTTGCAGGATGAGCGAGGTGATGGTCTGATGATTCCTCGGTAGTTTCCTCGGCAGGGCCACAGTGCCTCGGTAGGTTCCTCGGCAGCGGCGCGGGCCCGGAAGCTTGCAAAACTTGAAGTCATCAGCCGCAAAAGAGATGCCCCCACTGAGGCTCGAACTCAGGACCTTTCGCTTACGAAGCGAACGCACTGCCAACTGTGCTATGGAGGCATTTGTACTGAATGCAGAACTTAAGGATAATAAAGCATTGTTTCCATGCTTGTTGCATCGCACAATATGGCATTTAAGTGAAGACCCATGAGCATGTATCTTGATGTTTCACACAAGGATGTCAGTCCATGGACATGTACTTCTTCCTTGATGCCCGGACTCATGAGCTGTATGTGATGAAACATCGTTACTGATGCCGCGAGATGCTTTTCAGGATATCAAGAAACCTTCAGCGTGCTGCAGTATCCTAAATCACTACTTTCATGATGTTTCGTTGATCGCAAAATATTTGCAGGATGGGAGCAACGGGCAAATAGATAGTAGGGTTGCTATGTGTTGTCTTTATTGCTACACATATATACATCATGATACACCTTCGTCGGACTTCAGGAAAGAGAAGGATCTCTTGCTTCGCATCCCTTCGGGAATACAAACAGCAGGGAGAGGAAGCGCGAGGCGGTGGAGCACCAGCTCTCGCTCGTTCACTCTGGGGAAAGGAGCATACTCAAGGCTCGCTCGATGAGAGAGGTCATCCTTTCCTGCAGCAAGAGTCAGCAGAGCGCTGGGCTGCTAGAGGAAGCAGCTCACCGTGGAGGGGGCCACTAGACTCTGAAGAAGCCTCCGCTTTGAGCGAAGACAGTACTTCTTTAGGCACAGGGTTCGGAGCCGAAGGATCGGGGGAGAAAGAAGCAACGAGCGTGAAGATGCGCCTTGTGGAGAGGTTAGGACAGATTTGCTGCCTCCAGTCTGTGGCCTCGGGTCCCACCTGCCAGCAGCAGGTCAGGCGGTCTTGACCTCCGAGTCGTGATCCGCTCCCTCACCAGCATGTACTTCTCCATCATGAGGACGTCGGTGGCTTGCCGCGTCAGAGGCAGGCTCAGCGTCTCGGGGCCCACATCAACCTGCATGCTACTCCTGCTGCCAACTGCCAGCGTCGAGTTGGACAGCTGCTCGTCCCACCCGAACTTGTTGGCAGCTTTGAGCACGACCCGCTCCACCCTCGTCACTCCGCTCTTGAGCGCGAGAGCTCCATCGAAGGTGCAGTAGGAAGACTCAGTCAGCAGGACGTCTAGCAGCTCCCCATCAAGATAAGCCTTGGAAAAAAGAATCAAAAGTTGCACCCAGCCGCTTCCCACCTCGCTCACCATGACAGCCTTGGCTATACCCCGGCGGAACCAAGGTAGGAGACCAGCGTCCTCGAACCTCTCCGCGAGCCTACGAAAGTAAGACTCCACCAGGGCCACACCTGCGACTGCTTGTCAGCTGGAGACGAGCAGGAGGGGGTTGGCACCTGAGGCAGCCTCTCCACCGACACAGAGTTGCACCAGGTTGAGAGCAGCAAGCTTCATGTCCTTGAACCTGCGGAGGATGAGGAGAACTACGGAGACTGGCTCCCTCTCACTCTGCTTCGATGGCACGAGCATACAGAGACTCGAGGGTCTTGGAGAGGCTCTTGATGAACGACTCCACCTCCGTCCTGAGCTGGTCCGCAGCTGAAATCTCCCGCTTGCTTCTTCCTGCCTCCTTCCCTTTGCCAGGGAGAGTTTTGCTCCTCACTGCAAGGAGTCAGGACGAGGAAGATCGTAACAGGAAACTACGTGCGATCAACAAGGAGGAAATGTTCGAGAGGATGGCGAAGCAGCACATGCTCTGAGGGTCGCAACTGGCAGCCATGGACTGCCATGCGCGGCTCATCTTGTCGAAGAACAAGGAGACAAAGGACGAGGAGGCGGCAGGAAGTGCCGCAGATTCTTGTTCAGGCACGTTGTAGAGGTTCCAGTGCAGCATCGAGCGGGTGATGATCCAGGCGGAGTAGCAGACGTCATACTGGTTGACCACTGACGGCTCAGTGCGGACATTGCTGCCACCATTTTCCGACGGCCCAGCAATGCAGGTTTTGTAGGGAGAGATGCAGTAGATGCAGCTTTCAAGTAGAGTGAATAGATCGGACTGTCAAAGCTCATGTCACATGAGATGAAGATTTAAACAGACAAGGATGTGCAAAGAAAAGAAGAAAGGAGAGGAGAGGAGACTTCATGAAAAGATGAGGAGAGCTTGTACCTCAATCTCAGTGAACTCCACTTTCAAGGAGAGATCTGCCAGAACCTGTTCATGTTGTTTGATGACGGCGATAGCTGCAAAAAGCCAGAATCAGCATGATGCCTTAGCGTCAATCTAAAAGACGACCCTTGAGAAGCTCAACAGCGGCAACCTTCTCCATCCGATGCTTCACGTTCTCCTTGCTCTTGACCCCCTTCCAATCAACGTCCTCCTCCTCCCTCTCTCTCTCCCTACTGCTACAAGTGGAACATCACAGATCATATTCACGGGCGCAGATCCAACAAATCACCTCGTCCCGCTCTCGACCCGATCTGAGATGCGATGAACTAGCTTCCTCGTCCTCGTCTCGTCGGAATTGGACGAGTCCATGGAGCTCTCCCGTTTCCTGTTCAATCGATTGTGAGGAGCAGGAGCTTGCAGGGATGACACAAACTGACTCTTTCCTTGGCTGTCCCGAAGTTTTCGTCGCAGGAGGAGCAAGCTTTGCTTTCTTGGCCTCCACTCCCTTGACCGGAGACAGCTTCTTTTCCTCATCCTTGAAATCTGACTGAGAGGAGTTCTTTTCCTCGTCCTTGCTGCGTTCGTCCTGTCATCTCCACAACAAGCCGCATGAACTCCTCCTCACCTCTTCTCTTCCTCCTTCGTCAGATTCTTCTTCGGCCCCGAGCTCTCCTTCTTTGCAACCTTGCGAGCAACTGCAAGGTCTTTGCCGCTCACGTCCGTCGGTTGTATAACATTCCCTTCCTCTTTGCGCGGCGTTCCCTTCCTCCCATTCTGCTGCGCAGTCTCCGAACTTTCCCTTCCTCCTCCCCTTTCCCCCTTTGCTTCACTCTCCCCTCCTCCTCCTCTCT